GGGCTCCAGGGAAGCAGCTCTGAGCAGCTCTGTGTCCAGGGGAGCCTGGGGGCTCCAGGGAAGCAGCTCTGAGCAGCTCTGTGTCCAGGGGAGCCCCACGCTGCCCCATGCATGGACAGAGCCTCTCAGGCTGCTCCACACTCAGCTCCCACCCACAGCTGTCCGTGGGGGAATCTGTCCCATCCTTTTACAGAGCGGGGGCTTGGGAAGACTTCCCATTCCTCCCCGATGCTACCCAGCTTCTCCTCCATCCTCTTCCCTCTAAAATGGCCACATAGGCTGGACAGAACATTTGTCCTATGCCGCACAGGGATGAAATGAACAATTTCAGAAATAAAGACTCAARCCCTTCTCTGTTTTCGGGAAGGCAGGCAGCTGCTCGTGCTACTCCCTCCATTTGGGCTTTTGATGGCACCACACAGAGAAACTCAGTCTCTGTGTATTCATTTCCTGGGAATGCTGGAAGATGCCTGCAGAAATGAGCTAAATAATTGCCTACAACAAGACCTTACGCAGCAGATTTTCAGTTCAAAAAGCAGCAGAGTCTCTTGAAATGCCTTTGGAACTGAAGGTCAGTGTGTTGCTGAGGTGGCTCAGTCAGATGATACAATCAGAAAAAGAAACTAATTCAAAAAGATCCAGCTAYTTTGGACAGATCACACATTTCTGAATAGTCTCTTTCCCAGAGAGGATTGAAATGGTTCATTATTTGGGAAACTATTTACTAATCCTGTGTTTGGGAGTCTGTGTGACCGATTTTGCAGCAGAGCAGCTCTCCCTGCACAAACACTCCTTCCCGTGGGTTTGTGTGCATGGGGAAGTCAATATTTGTGTAAAATATTTAATGAAGGTGTGCAGCCCCAGGTCCCAGGATTATTCTCACCTGCAAAGCTCAGGAGCCCCATGTGGTGTGACCAGAGACAGATGGTATCATTTATACGCTGGTGCCACCTCATTTTCTGCAGTGCAAACTCCCTCTCTGGGAACCTGTGCCTTTGTTACTCAATAAACCAGGCAGCCAGATGATTTTATGGGGTTCCACAGCTATGCTGCCTTTACAGCAGCTACCACAGCAGCTATCATGACTGCASGAGTAAACTGCAGTACAAAGGGCTTTATTCATCTGTCCCAACTCCTCAAGCAGGGCAGAGCACCTGACCTTCTCCACGGTACAGGATTCCCACAGCACAGAGATGTAGTGATGGATTTTATCTCTGGATGAACAGTCTGTGGCTCAGCCACACTCCTGTAATCACACCTTTGTGTTTTGAGGGCTTATCCCTCATGGAAAAACSTCCTGGATCCCAACTGGCGGCTGCTGTGGCTTCAGCAAGGAGGAAGAGGAGGAGGAGAAAGGAAGAGGGCAGCTTCACTCTGCATCCCAGCAAGGCAGGAGCAGGTCTGAGACAGACAAGAGTCTSCTGTGCTCCAAAAAAGCCATGGACCCTCTGGAGAAGTGTTTTGAGGGTGATTACGTCTGTGTTGTCCTGAGGTTGCACAGGGCTACAACAAGAGCCTGGGGAGACCTGCACGAGGAGAAAGAGCACATCTACAAAGCCAGGATCCATGAACATRAACTGTTCAAGGCCATCTGTGAGACCTTCCAAAATCATCAGCATGAAAAAAGTAATTACTGTGCTCTCCTTCACCTTCAAATTAGGCCAACCCATGCTTCAAAAATACCATTTTTAGTTGTGAAAGCTGCAGTTTTTGCGTAAACCCCTCTTCCAAAAGACAGAAATTTGCCGTAATATTGAGGACAGCAAACTTGATGACAAAGCCATTGAAGCAGCCAGTCCTGCTTAGTCTCAGGCTTGGTTTTTTTATAAAGGTATCCTTATCCCATAGAGAGGTGGCATTAACCAGGCTGCCAGAGACAGATGCTGTTCCCTGGAGCYCCTCATTCTGACCTGAGCCCAGGAGGGAAGGGCTAAGAACATCAGGTAAAAGAAAGTTCCCAAATCACTGGCACACCTCTGCAGGGGCTGTGGGTGGGCAGTGCCTCTGCTCTCACCATGAGCACTGGGGGCCCCAGCTTGCTGCCCAGGGAGCAGTGACCTGAGACTTTCTGCTGTGGTTATTCCTCCCCAGGCAAGACCTGATGTCATCACCAGGACACACGGTCCATTGCAACTCAGATTCAGACTTCATCACACACACACTGGGAGGTTCAGCTCCATCCAGGAAGCTCCTTCCATGTATTACAGGCTTCAAGGGCTGTGCCTGCAGGATGCTGAAGCTTGTACAAAGTTCTAAGTGGTTCCCTCTTGGGAGTGGTCAGGATTTTCCCATAAACATTCCTCTAACCCCTCCTCCCTTCTGAACCAGAAACACCCACCTCCGTGCTAAAAAGCCCCTGATACATTTCACCAGTGAACATAAGAGAGGGACAACTAGAAGGCAGTGCTAAATCCAGTCAAGCACAAACCCTGGAACAAGATAAGTGCTGTGTTCAACAATGGAATAACTCTGAGGAACCCACTCTCCTCTTTGCAAAAAGCCTTGACTCTAGCTGGAAACACAATTGCTCCTGGAATGACAGCAAAGCTCAGAGCTCTGCTGCACTGCAGCCACAGCCCACAGCTCCTGCATTTGCATCCAGCACCCAGGAATCAGCCCTCTCCCCTGCTCAGAATCCAATTAGATGAATTCCTGCACATGAATGAGCAGACACCAGCAAGGTGGCTGTGTAATGCCTCTGACCCCATGGCTGTGGYAGCCCCAAGGGCTGTGTGCAGCCTTGCAGAGCTTTGGCTCAGGAACACACGTGGGCAGAGCTCCAGGCTGGGTGTGGATGGGACTCATYCAATGCAAGGCTCCCAATCTCCTCCAAGTCCTGGGTGGGATCCCAACAGGACCCCCATGAAGTATCTACTGCAAGCTCTGCAGGTTTCTGAGGACTTTTAGTTGCCTGCATATCCACAGGCCTTTCTGCAGGAAAAAAAGGTCTAAAAAAGGGTCTAAAAATGGTGGCAAACATTTGTCTCTGAAGAACTTGCTTAAACATAGAATTAGAGAATCATGGAATGGACCTCAGAGGTCATCCAGTTCCACCCTCTTTGATGTGGGCAGGGACAGTTCCCACTAAAGCAGGTTCCTCAGGGACCTATCCAACATGGCCTTGAACACTTCCAGGGATGGGCAGCCACAGCCTCCCTGGGAACAGCTCATGGGCACAGTCACTGAAGCAAAGCAGACCCACCACTGCTCTTGGGAGTGTCACAGGGAATTCCTGGGCTCCGAAAATCATTTGCATTGATTCACTTCTTCACACAGGGCCTGTCCCACTTGGTCCAGCACAGCTGGGCAGCTGCTGGGGACACAGCTCCAGGAACAGCATCACCCTGGGCCATTTTCTCAGGGAGACACAGCACTGAATACTCAGAACGTGAACGCTGGTATTCCTCAGATTCAGCTTGCCCTGGGATTCACACCACGCCAGGCACTTTGAGGGGCTGCATGGGACTTGCTAAGTTTTGAGCCTCTTCTCAACTTGGCCCAACTTTGTCTACACAAATGGGAAATGGGACYGGCCACTCCTGTCCCTCCATCCTTCCCATCTGTCCCTCCTACTTTAGCAGGTTCACAGAGATCCTTGAATAGGACTGTTTGCACAGTTCTGAGCACCTGAAATCAAGTTGTTGTAAGAATCCTTCTTAATATAAGGATTTTTCAGTTCTTTTGACCTTCTACCCTTGCATTCCAGTTCCAGAGCCTGACAGAAGCTGGAGCTCCCATAGGGGAGGAACAGTGGCTACTGTAGACTGATGTGCTGCACGCTGTGTGGGAGTCCCAAAGCACAAGGGGAACATGGCACTGGGTTATTGGGATTGCATCAGAGGGAGAAAAGGGGACAGACACTAATTAGGGGGCTAATGGCTTCTTAAGCTYACTTGGTAAATTTGTACCAGAGAGTCCAGTTTTATCCAAAATTCAATTAATGTGTCTTCTGGGATGTAACCCCAAATGCCAAAAATTCTCAATGCTTCTGAAAGCTTTGAATGGGGCCAACATTACAGACTGGGAAGAAAAATGGCCTATGAACTGAAAAAGGAGGAAGAAAATAAATATAATTATAAAAATCTAAGGAACTTCACAAGCAATATCTTGGTCATAAGCCTCCTGAAAGGCATCAGACTGAGTTACAGTCCAGTGGGAGTGCAAAGCATATGGAGAACTTTGACAGATGTGCAATCACCTAGTAAAATCGATGAATATTCAGGTTCTACCCACACAATTTCATTYGCATTGTTGATCTGGCAGAGGATGTGTAAGAGCCCCCTACAGCATGAAGCAAWCTCACAGAGCTTCTGTACTCAGGATGAGTTCAAACAGCCCCTTTCACAGACATTTCCAGGCTGTTAACAAACAAATGCAGCATGTGCAGGGCCACAACACGATCCGAGCACACGGAGGAAGCCTTTGCAAAATTCTGTCCCCAAGGATGCATCATGGCAGACAATTCTAAGCAAATATACAGTTTTTGTATGACAAGAATCTGCATGGAAAAGGCACAGGGTATTTACCTGTCCTGGATGTGCAGCTTTTGGAGCTCCTCAGCCACGGTCCAAGGCAGCATCTCGGGGGGCACCCGGAAGCGTTGCGCCCATCGCGCCGCCCCACGCGTGCCGCAGTGACGGAGCAGAGACTGCACCAGGTGCCCTTGAAGCCAGCGGTTCTCCCCARCCGTGCTCTGCAAGGGCAAGGGGGCAAGGAAGATGGTCAGTGCTATTTCCACCGTGGGTGTTTCTCTCCCCTCCAGGAGGCAGTGCCCTCAGGGGTSCTGGGCAAGGGCAGGAAGGGGCAGGAGCTGCCCCAGGGCAGAGCAGGGCTGCCCCCACGGCAGGGGGTGTCCAGTGAGTGTTGCATGGCTCTGTGGGGAGATGAAGAGCACACACCTGGACTGGGAGCTCACTGGGGTACGTGTGCCTCTTTACCAGCATGGCTGCTTGGCCAGGGAATGCCACTTTGCAGGTGCAGCACAAAGAAACAARGCTATACCATTGCTGAGCCCGACTTCTGACCAGCATATTATTTGCTCAGATATTGATTACATTAAGGAAAATGGAAACCACTGACAGACAGCAAAGGTCTTCAGAATTAACAGGTACTTATGGAGGAGTAAGAATTTGGATGGTTTGAATCCCATTTTRTGTCTGTACATTGCCCCAAAGTGTTGCTGTGATGAGATGGCCTGGGAGGGGAATGGAATAACAGAATCATAGAACAGTCTGGACCTTTCAAGGCCATGTAGTCTAAACCCYCTGCCATGGGCAGGGACACCTTCCACTATCCCAGGTTGCTCCAAACRCTGCCCAGCCTGGCCTTGGACACTTCCAGACCGCTTCACTTCCACTTCCAAGACACTCCCAGGAGGGATGGGGCAGCCACAGGTGCTCTGGGCAACCTGTGCCAGGGCCTCCCACGCTCATTATAAAAACTTTATTCCTTACATCTTGTCTGAATCTCCCCTATTTTAGTTCAAAACCATCAGCCCTTGTTCTGTTKTAACAGGTCCTRCTAAAAACTCTGTCCCCATCTTTTTTATTCACCATCTTTAAGTACTGAAAGTAGTACTGAAGGCTCCTTGGAGCCTTYTCCAGGTGAACACCCCCAGCTATCCCAGCCTGTCTCCAGAGCAGAGGGGCTCCAGCCCTTGGAGCATCTTCTTGGGATGGCTTTCTTAGGACAGACATCCCCTGTCTCTCCAGGGCAAACAGAGGTTCTCCTCCATTCTCTGAAGTATTTGCAGGGATTGTTGGGATTGCCAGTCATCCATAGGTGACAGAGAGGGCACATCAGCAAAGCTTTCCTGAGTGGTGTTCAGAGCCAGGAAAAGGCTGGCATCACCCTCCAGCCCTCTGCCCCCCAGRAGCCTCCCCAGCACCAGGCACAGCTGCGGGTGGAGCCCAGGCTGGCAGTGGAGTCACCCTGCATTGGAATTCAGCTGGATGAAATGTGCTGTGAGAGTCCCACATCCAGCTGGAATGAGCCAGGATTATTGCATGAAGGAATTCTTYCCTTTGTGTCTGTTCAAGGCCCCTGGGAAGGCGAGAACTGGATCACTGCTTTGAGACAGACACACTCTCAGTGTCACTGTGTCACTCCCTGTGTTCTCACCTGCGAACAGGGAGGGCACTTCAGGACATTCCCTGCTCCCATCTGTTCCCTGCAGGAATGGAATGCGTGTCTTGGCACCCTGCAGAGCCTGGGGGCACCAGCACAAACTCACACTGCCTGGGTTCAAACCCAGAGCCCAGCTGTGGCCAGAGCCCAGCACAATGCCCACCCTGGCAAGGGGCAGTGCCAGTTCCCCCTGGTGACAGCTGCATGCATCAGAGCTCTTCTGCCTTGTCCACCTCTGAGAGGTGCAGGTGAAAGGAAATATAAACATGYGGTGGCAGTTCCCCCTCCTCCTCCCCAGCCAGCCCACGTGTGCTGCAAACACCCCAGAGCCCCACAGCCAGTGTGRCAACTGCTCCTCTCTGCCCTTGAAGTTAATATTGTCAAGAAAACTGCTAAAACAAGCTGAAACCCTACCTGGTGGCCCAGAACTTGTATCTCTAGGAGTGGCACTACAAATGAGAATTTCAGTGGAATGCAATACTCAGATGTGCCCTGGAAGCCCATCCCCACACTGGCCACGCCGCTGCCCTCTGCCCTGCACTGGCCACTGGCACTGCTCCAGGGYCTGAGCCTGCTCCCAGCCATGGCAGCATCCTCACTCCCCGGCATGCAGGAACAGCTCCCGCTGGGTGGGAGGCTGTGGCCATGGGGCCTCATTCCTCACATTCCTTCAGTAACTAGAAGGTGAGAAWTTGTCTTCAAAGCAGACACAGAGATCAGGAAGCAAATCTGTTGATGGCCCCAAGGTAAAAAGGAAGGGAAACAGAAAGCCAAGGAGAAAAAAAGAATGACCCCCGCCCAGAGGTGCAGGAGGGGGCAGAGACTCAGAACAGCTCGGAGGGATCTGGCACCCCAGCCTGCTCACAAGAACTGCTGCCTCAGCACTGTGTCTGCACCCTGTGACTGCCAAACGCCAAAGCATGGCTCTTCTCACGGGTGTGTGGAGGAACAGTTTCACTGCTGCTCCCGAGGGGCTGGGTGTGCAGCAGGAGCCAGGGTCAGCAGAACGGGTCCAGCAGTTCCCCAGGTACAGGAGGGCAGCGAAGGAAAGGGCAGGGCAGGAAAAGGACACGACATGTCCTCCTGCTCGTGCTTCTTGCCTTCTGCATTTCCCCTGGCCATGCCAGTCCTGACCTTTGTGCCTCTCTCCCCTCTCYGCCTTCTGTGCCTGAGCTCAGCCAAGCACTGAACATGTGAAGAGGGACTGACTTAAACCCGCCTGCACATCTGCCAAGCCACTGCTCAGAGTCCTTCCCAAAAAGAACATATTTTCTTACTAACATCCCAGAGCATTTCCCTCTTCTTGCTCCCCCTGTGTACATCCTATTGTCTTCCTGCCTTTTTTCTAAAACACAGACTCTTTGGGGTTGGAGCTCTCTTCAGTTCACCCCAAGTCAATTCTTAATAAATCTTGTTGTGGCAGCTTTATTTCTGGAAATAATGAGGTGCAGATTTCTTTTATATTATTTTAGTGATAACAGATTTCTTCTTTCAACCCCAAAAAAGCTCTGTAAAGAAGGTTAATCTCCCCAGAGATATCCCATCTTGCATTCTGAAACAGAAAATAGCTTTGTTTGTCTTTTTACTGAAAAAAGAAAAAGCCCAACATTGCTCTAAAGGGGAAAGGCTTCCACTGCAACAGCTCTGCAAGAGGCAGGAATGTGGAAACTTTGGCCTCAGAAGATATGGGCACAGATGCAGAGAGCAATGTTTCACCAGGGATGACATTTCATGTGCTTTGCTGTCAGTAAATGAACACATGTCAAGAGGAAACTGGCACGGTTGTTCTGATCAACATCAGTGACACCTCTGAGCAGGAAAATATTCTATAGACCATGAGGCTTGTTTACACCCCTCTTGGAATTCTAGACATATCATACATTCTTTAATCCATAGAGCACACMAAAACCCCTGACACCAACAATAACCCATGATTAAAGCTTTCCACAGTGACGGCTGCAGATTTCCTACCCGTAAATCCTGTTCTCACCGCCAAGGCTTCACAGAGCTCACACCAACTGTGCAGGGCAAGCTCAGCAATGTCCTAGCCTTAACCCAKCAACTATTTCTCCACTGGTACCAATAATTTTGAATCAAAATATCCAATATCTCCTTTGGAAGTCCCCCTATCCAACCCTAGATCAGTTTTATCTGTATGTRTTAAGCTGCATTTCAGTCCCATCCAATTTTGCCCTTTGCCTCAACATCTTTTCCCGAAGAGGGACATTATTCACACCACTGACACTGGCTATTTGCAGAGTCAGATTTTAATTTAACTTTTGAATATCTTGGCCAATTTACYCTGTTTTCAACTGCTTCCAGAATCAACAAAAATCCATCCTACTAGTGTAGAGAAAATGTCAAGGAGAATATTTTAGAGTCAGCAATTTTAAAAGGGGAAAAAGAAACCCAGACTTAAAAAGGACAAACCCCCTGTCAGCAGTGGAGGGCACTGAYAGCACTGCTGAATTTCCTGTGGTGTAGCAGGTACAGACACCTGTGCTTAAACATCCCACTGTGGTATCATCACTGCTACCTTGTGGTATTTGTGCTCGAGGTTTCAAGGTGTTTCAAAGTTTCCATCATTTGTACTGAACAGAGATTCTGCAGTGTCACCATCAGATGTCGTTGAAGGGAACTCCTTGAAGCATAAAGTTGGAGCTGGGACCCTYAGAGCTGGCTTAGACCAACTAGCCTGTTCCCTAAGAGGAGGRGGGTCCTGGCTTCTGGACAGCTTGCACAGACTATGGAATCCCACACTGGTTTGGGTTGGAAGTGACATTAAAGCCCATCTTGTTCCAACCCCMYKGTCATGGGCAGRRACACCTCCCACTGTCCCAGGCTGCTCCAAGCCCCAATGTCCAGCCTGGCCTTGGGCACTGCCAGGGATCCAGGGGCAGCCACAGCTTCTCTGGGCACCCTGTGCCAGGGCCTGMCCACCCTCCCARGGRAGGATTTCTGCCCTCCCTCAAGTCTGATCTAACCCTKCCCTCCTTCAGCTTATGGCCATTCCCCCTTGTCCTGTCGCTGTCTGTCCATGTAAAGTCCCTCTCCCTCTTTCCTACAAACACCCTTTAGGTCTCAACAGTCCACAAAAAGGCCTCCCTGGAGCCTTCTCCTCATTGGTTTGATCAGCCCCAGCTCTCCCAGCCTGTCTGCAGAGCAGAGGGGCTCCAGACCATCTCTGTGGCCTCCTCTGGACTCTCTCCAACCTGTCAATGCCTTTACAGTGCTGAGGACCCCAGAGCTGGACACAGTGCTCCGGAGGGGTCTCAGAAGGGCAGAATAGAGGGGAGATATCCTCTCCTTGGATCAAAGATGCCAACTTTGCCCCCACTCCCTTCCGAGCAAGGTTTCCCATGAAAGCAACAGTCACTTCGCCATAGCTCTGGCCCACAGCCAGAACCTGAGAACACCCTGAGAACACCCCGAGAGTACCCTTAGAATACTGAGAGCCCCCTGAGAACACCATGAGAAGAACAGCTCAAGAGCACCCTGAGAACACCCTGAGAGCACCCTGAGAGTACCCTGAGAATACTGAGAGCCCCCTGAGAACACCAGGAGAAC